CTATTATTGTTTGTGATCTTATTGAGGACGAAGCCTCCTTCACTTGTACTGTCTAGCCTTTTGATGACTTTAATGAAATATATGTCGTCTTTATTAAAAAAAAAATTTAAGTTACAACCAAACCACACAAATCCGAATGGCAAATCTGATAGTGCTACAGACGTGGTAGTTGGCTCAGGTATATGAAGTATTCCTTGTGTTGTTTTTTTTTTTCAGTTATTCCATTCCCCTACATCCCAGCACAGCACCTCGCTTACTTTTCCTTGACTCTAGCGACGACAATGGTGCAAATGGAAATTTGCTTCATTAGAGAAAAGTGATCAACTTTGTTGCTTTTGTATATTTTGGTTTACTGTTTTATTGATTTCTAGGGATTTGAGAGTGAATAGAGGGATAGGGAATGTTGCAGGTTTGTGACGGCTACAAGGCTATGCAAATGCGTCAACCATATTTTGATTTATATAGAGAATGTTTGTAGGGTTTTGGTACATTGTCAACTCACAAACTTGTACTATAAAATACACCTAGGATTCTCCAAATTTAATCCTAGCCCTTCATTAGGGTTTTAAGTGATCTAATCTGGAGTGTACACTTGTCACTTGATTACATAACCAAAAGCTTTAAACAAAAAACTAGTTGTTAGGATAGAAACCCTCGTTCTTCCTCTTTCTTCTTCGATTCTGCATAAACTCTTCACTTGGAGCTTTGCTTTCTGCCTTTGATTCTTGGAACCATAATCAATGTAGGTTCCAACACTCCCCTCTAATTTGGTTCTGGTTGTCACGCCAAGCAAACTTCTCAGGTAATTGAATATTTCCTTTGGAAGTGCTTTTGTGAAAATATTTGTGATTTGATCTTCTGACTTGCAGTAGTGTAGCTTTATTCTATTCTCTTGCAATGCTTCTCTAATGAAACGATATCTCCTCTTTATATGCTTTGTTTTTTTATGGAATACTGGGTTTTTAGTCATGGCGATTGCTGAGGTGTTGTCACATAGAAGAGGTGTGGCATCAACTTGTAATTCTCCAAAGTCCTTGAGTTTGAATCTTAGCCAGATGGATTCAGATGTTGCCTCTAAGACACTCACATACTTTGCCTTAGTAGTAGACAATGCAACACTTTACTGTTTCACACAAGCCCAAGAGAAAACCCCTAAATCGAAAGTAAAAGCATATCCTGATGTTCTTTTGCAATCATCTTCACAATCTCCCCATTCACTATCACAAAATCCAATTACAATAACTGACTTTCCCATTTCCTACTTGATTCCATGTCTTGCACATATCTCAGCACTCTCTTAGCAGTTTTCCATATGAATCTTGGTAGGATTTTGCATAAATTTTGAGAGCAAACTTGCTGAAAACATCAAATCAAGCCTTGTTGCAGTTAGATACAATAGATTGCCAACAATGCTTCTCTAGAGGTTTGAATCCACTGATTCACTTCCATTATCCTTTTAAGTTTCTCATTTGCATTTAAAGGTGTAGACATAGGTTTGCAACCTTTCAAACCGAACTTTTCAAGTAAGGTTTGAGCATACTTCTTTTCATGAATGATGATGTTATTTGCTTTCTGTATTACCCTAATGCCAAGGAACTGTTGTAAGAGACCTGGGTCAATCATCTCATACCTCTTCATCATTTCTTCCTTGAATTTTTCAATCATAGTTTCATCATTTCTAGTGTAGACTACATCATCCACATGGATTGACACAATGAGAGTTTTGTTGTTGCCTTTTGATTTAGTGTAGAGTATAGCGTCACTAGGACTTTTTTGGAATCTTTTCTTAGTGAAATAAGAGTCAATCTCACTGTACCAAGCTCTTGGAGCTTACTTTAGGCCATAGAGTGCCTTTTTAGCTTGTACACCTTCTCTGAGGACTCTTCACTTATGAACCCTTGAGGCTGTTCCACAAATATTTCCTCTTCTAACACTTCATTTAATAATGCAAATTTCACATCCAGTTGATGTAGCTTCCAACCTTTTCGGATGCTAAGGCAATCTGAGTTCTTATAGTGTCTACCTTTGTTACTGGAGCAAAGGTTTCATTGAAGTCTACACCAAGTTTCTATGAGTAGCCTTTAGCTACTTATCTGGCTTTGTTTTTTTTGCACATAACCATCTAGGTTCAATTTGGTTTTGTAAAACCATTTCACCCCTATTATTGGCTTGTCACTTGGTCTGTGTACTTATTCCCTAGTGTCATTCTTCTCTATCATTGCCAATTCTTCTTTCATTGCCTTCTTCCAGGACTTGTCCTTCTCAGCTTCCTCATAAGTCTCAGGTTCCACTACACAATAGTTACAAGTGTCATATATTTCTTCCAAGCTCCTTCATCCCACTAGAGTTAAGCTTGGTGTTGTAATCTATGAGTCGTTGGATTATGGATTCATGCTTGTTGGTTGTGGTGTCATTTGTGACCCACTGTCTTATGTGATTCTTCATGAATTGAGTCTGCTCTAGGTTGTCTTATTTCCCTATTATTGAGATCAAGTTATAGAGAGACACTGTCTTTCTCTTCTACACTTGTTTTCCAATTCCATATGGAGCCTTCATCAAAGATAATGTCCCTTAATAGGTTTATCTTTTGAGTTGATAAGTTAAAGATCATGTAGCCTTTCTCACTTGTGCCATACCCCATAAAGACACGATTGTTGCTTGACCTTTCCAGCTTTTGCCTTTGCTGTAGAGGTATATGAGCATAACATATTGAGCTAAATACTCTCAAATATTTTACAAATGATATTCTACCACTGAACACTTCAAATGGTGTCTTCTTATCGAATGTTTTGTTAAGGCATCTATTAAGAAGGTTTACTGCATTATTCACTGCTCCACCTTAGAAAGAATAGGGCATAGTTTTTTCATGTATCATAAACTTAGCCATTTCAACTATAGTTTTGTTTTTTTCTTTTTGAAATGCCATTTTGTTGTGGTGAGTATGCCATTGTGAGTTGCTTCACCAAACCCACATCTTCACAGAATAGGTTGAATTCTTGTGAAGTATACTCTCCTCCCCTATCACTTCTCATCTTCTTCATTTGATGTCCACTCTGCAGCTCCACCATACCCTTAAATTTCTTAAAAATTGTGAAGACCTCTTATTTGAACCTTATGAAATACACGCAACACATCCTTGAGTAGTCATCAATAAAGGTTAGGAAATATATGTTCCCACTGATTTTTGGCATAGGACCACACACACATCAGTGTGAATCAATTCAAGTGGCATAGTTACTCTCCAAGCTTTGCTAGCTTCAAATGGATCTCTGTGGTGTTTACCAAATACACACCCTTCACATGTTTCACTATAGTCATCCAGTTCTAGTATACCCTGCATCATTTCATGTTTTTCTAGATTTAAATGACCAAATCTTTTGTGTCATAGCTTCATAGAACGTGTCATACTTGCTTTACTTGCAACTTCTTCAAGATATCTCAAAATAAGTGGGAAGTTTATATTTATCACTTCAACTCTAGTTACTAGGTTTAAGAAAGACCTGTCATCAAATATCTTAATCATAGTTCCACCAAAGAGTATGAAATAGTTGTGCTCCATCATTTGACCAACACTAAGTAGGTTTTCATCCAATCTAGGCACTAGCATAACTTCCCTTATGTATCTTCTCCCCTTTTTGGCTTCAGTAACTAGAGTTCTTCTTCTAGTGCCTTTAACAATGTTTCCATTTCCCATTTTCACTTTCCCTATGAAAACAATGTCAATATATAAGAAATGACTCATGTGAAGTCATATGGTTACTGTAGCCACATTCAATATACCACACTTCATTGTTTTTCTCAACTTTGGCATTGAATGCACATAACACATTTGCCTCTTCTTTCTCTTGATTTGCACTATTTACTTGTTGTACATTGTTTGACCTGTAATCCTTCATGAGATGCCCAAACTTGTTGCACTTGTGGAATTTAGGCTTTGCTCTTGAACCACCACTCTCCAAAATCAAGTTTATCATAGTGCTTGTACAACTATTTGGTTTTAGGACCTTCACTGGTGGTACTACTATAGTTAGGTTTGGGGTTTTGATACCCTTTTCCTTCCTATTTCTTAAACTTGCCCCTCCATTGTGATTTTTATTTGCTTGCACCAGCTTGACCACTAGACCCGGTGTTGAGAGACTGCAAAGCTCTCTGAGTAGCAGTGTCAACTTGCCTTTCAAGTCTTTGGTCAAAAACTCTCAAGGATGCCATAACATCCTGCACACTAAGAGTATCTGTGTCTTTTGTTTCTTCAACAGCTTTTGGACATCTCTTTTGGACAACTCTTTAGTCAAACTAATCAACAGCTTTTGGACAACTCTTTCATTTGGCAGTTCTTCACCATAAGTTTTCATTTGGTTTACAACATCAAATGGTCTAGAGAAATAGTCTTTCAAAGGTTCATTTTCCCTCATTCTTGTATATTCAAAATCTCTTCTAAGGGATTGAAGTTTTACCTTTCTCACTTTGGTGTCTCCTCTGTATTCTTGTTGTAAAACATCCCAAGCATCTTTTGTAGCTTCTTCATTTGCTATTCTGGGAAATATGAGATCCGACTCAACTCCTTGGATGATTCCAAGAGCTCTAGCATCATTCATCTAATTCTCCTTCAGTTTGGTAGCCTATTTTTCTATGAGGTACTCCTCCAAAGCATCAACCTCCAACTTTGGTAGCTCAAACCCATACTGGACCACATGACTTAAAGATAGTAGTCATCTTTATCCTCCAAAAATCACATTTTTCCCATCAAATACAAGAACCTTTAGCTCACTATTGTTGGATCCCTTCATTTGCAGGCTTGAAGTTTGATTCCTAAGGTTTCAAACACTATATGAGTGTTCCCAAGAATACCAAAAATACACAGCAATGCCCAGAAATAAAGTAAGATAAAAAACTAGGCTCTGAGGCCATGATAAATTTTTTTGCTTTTGTATATTTTGTTTTACTATTTTATTGATTTCTAGGGATATGAGAATGAACAGAGGAATAAGGAGTGTTGCAGGTTTGTGACGGCTACAAGGCTATGCAAATGCATCAACCATATTTTGATTTATATAGAGAATGTTTGTAGGGTTTTGGTACATTGCCAACTCACAAACTTATCTCTAAATATGCTAGGAGACAAATTTGTACTATAAAATACACCTGGCATTCTCCACATTTAATCCTAGCCCTTCATTGGGGTTTTAAGTGATCTAATTTAGAGTGTACACTTGTAAATTGACTACAAAACCAAAAGCTTTAAACAAAAAACTAGCCGTTAGGATAGAAACCCTTGTCCTTCCTCTTTCTTCTTCGATTCTACAGCAACACTTCACTTGGAGCTTCACTTGCTGCCTTTCATTCTTGGAACCAGCATCAATTTAGGTTCCAACAAAAAGGAAGCCATGGGTTGCAGATAATTTTGCCTGCATTATACATGTACCGTATGGAATCTATGGACAACCGATTTCAGCGGTTTCAACTTAGTGCAGAATTGTGATTGTATCAGATATGAAGATTGCGAATAACCACACTTCCGTTCGAAAGCATGCAGTATTCACAAAGGTGCAGTTTCAATATTGTTTACACTCGCTGAAATACCATTAGGGAAAACTTAATCGCACAATAATAATCGAAGTGCAAAAGGAGAAATGGAGGGGCAAAAATAGTTTTTCTTCAAAAAATTGCCAGAGAAGAATGCATGTCGATCATGTGGATGTGATCATACGGGGGGTCCAAAAGCCAACGGACACAGGGCTGACGTATAATACAATATATATAGGTAAAGAAGAAAAACACATCTCTCTCTCTCTCTCTAATTAAGCAGAACCTCCATTATTCCTTGGAGTGTATAACAACACTGGTCTTCCATCCAGTTCTTGAGTTGGCCTTGCATTCGCCTCATATCCCTGAAAATGACAAACACGTGGTTAAACTTCAACTGCGCAACACAGAGATTAAACAAGGAAAAAGTGTAATATTTTAACGAGCAAGTCGCAAGGTTTTGGATCAAATAATCAACCCCACATCGAGTTCGTGATCATTATGTGTTTAGATTCAACCGGATTAATTCCAAATACTTACATCATGAACCGCCTCCCGTAGTGCACGCACTTGCTCCCTTGAAACTGTCCTGACCTACAGAAAGAAGAGCAATATTAGTAAGCAAGTCTTTGGAATCAAGTAGGGTTAAGGAGATGAGCTACAAAGTGAAATACCTTTTTGACGATTGTCCAAATTACACCCTCAGTGCATGGAGGAACGGTAAGAGAACCGATATATCTGTAGTACTTTCTGCTTCCAAACTTAATATCTCCAGGATTAATAATCCCTATGTCAACCTCTTCTTTTCCAACTGATTTTATGTGGTGGAACAGCTGCCAGGATTGAATGGATTGCAAAGTAAAAAAATAAATAAAGTGAATAAACCAGGAAACAATCCGGCATGAAGAATGAAATGATATAGCTGCTTAAATTTCAAAAGTTCCGTGGCTTGTTGTATTTTCGTTTCATGAGAAGAATTGAAACCACAACTCCTACTAGTATTATACACTCTTCTCTGATATGTGTCACGACAACTCCTACTAGTATTTAAACGCAACCATAAATCACTGAGTTTTTCTACATTGTTGCATTGAGCTTACGTCCATTACCTTAAACTTATGAATGTTAGAGGCAAACAGAGAGAGATATACCTTTGAAAGGAAGGGATCAGGTCGACCATATTTGTACACAATTCCAATAACAGCAATCTTTCCGGTAGAGCTTACATGAACGATATGAAACTCCAAAGCATACCTGTAAAGAAGATTAAAGGAAGAAAGACATCAACAGCAATAAGACGGGGTTATACTAATATGAATGAAGAAAGAATTCACAAAAAACAATAAGAAAACCTTGATCCGTTAAATGTGTGTTCGGAGGGTGAATGCCAATGACATTGTAGCAGTCTATAGTCAGTCCCATTTATCTTGGTTTTTCCTGCATCTCCATTCCACCTCATCTGATAACAATTTCATGTTGAAAACAACTAAAAACTGTCAATTCTTCAACACATTCAATTTCTTTTATTGAAGTTCAAGTCATTGGAAAAATTTTAAATATAATTACATAATGCCTATGAGTATGAATATGGAAGACGGAGAATGAAAAGAGTAGACACTTAGGTGCGGAGTAGCTCACCGTGATGTCATGACCTCGGTTCTTCACAATAGCAGGAGCCGGTTTGTATTCCCTTTTCAGTTTCCCCAATTTAGGGAAAACCTGCACCCTTTGGTCAAGAAGATCAATTGGAGATTGCATTTTTCCGTTGTCACAAACTTTCCATTGTGGGTCAATTTGGCCCCATTTCTTTGGTCCTTTACCAGTTCCTTCAAGATAAGTAAATGCAGTTTCATCACCTGCCCATGTATGATAAAACAGGTTAGTTACATCACAAAGGTACGTTGCTCCGAGCGTCTTCTCTTACTATTTCTACATGTTATGTGCATTTCCACACTGAAACGTTTTAGAATGTTAATGAATAAAGTTAAAAGTTCTACCATAAAACAAATTGACAATATGGGTGTTGTCAAACTCCTCATAAGCTCGTGCAAATTCCCTACTATCCCCGATGTGAAATTCGTACTCTCAATAGTTAATGCTCAAAGTAAGAACTAGAACGAGTTTCCCCATCTTAGATTACTTAACCGTAATTAAAATAGGAGGAATTAAATTGAGAAGGAATTGAATTGAGAATGAATTGGAATGAGGAGGAATCAGAATTGGATTCCTATTGAAGATGTTTACAAGAATGTTCTGGAGTTAGAAAATAGTATTGATTTCATTTGTGCTGTTTAGTAGTTCACAGATATCGGAATGAATACCACTATGATTACTAAAATGCCCTTATTTATATAATAATTAATTGGATTAATTTTTTTAAAGTAAATTAATTATATTATTATGACCAAGAACATGACAATATTGATTTTTAATAGACTTGATTTTGTTGGAACATTTATAAAATTTGAAGACCTAGAGTACTTGGATTTAACGGAGGACATGACACAAAACCGAGCGCAATGGCGTTCTAGGATTCATATAGCCGACCACACTTAGTGGGAAAAGGCTTTGTTGTTGTTGTTGTATTTATAAAATTTGAATTCTTTTGTTTATGGGCTGGTTAAAGAGAAAAGAAATTTGAAGATAACATAACCAGCACAAGAGATGGAGATGGAATGGTGTTGGGTAGCGCGGAAGGGGTGGGCGGGGAAACTGAAACTTCAGAAATTATTTAAGGGCATAATGGGCAAGACAAGTTGATTCCCTATTTCGGGCTTTACCGAAATTGACATACTACCTCCATTCAAGGAGTCCAATTCCTCCACTTCGGAGGAATTGAATTCCTAAATTTGTGTGGACCCCTTTTTTTTATTTTATTCCCTAATATTTAGTAAACGCAAAAGTAACTCGTAATCGGAATTCAACTTTGCTATTTGATTCTGATTACGGTTACGTAAACACGCAATTAATGTGTATGAAACTTCAAAATATGCCTACTTCCCATATTTACATTCTCTCACTCTCTCTTTCAAATTTTCTTTTAGCTAAGATAAAAGAAAATATTGGATGGTGTAGATTACAACAAAAAATAAGGATTAAAATAATTAGAAATAAAAAGTTTGAAAGAAATTAAGAATAATTCAATTAATCTATGACAGATAGAAAGAAGAGAAGCTAAAACTTTCTCTATTCCCAAGCACACCAAAAACACAAATGGCCAAAAAGAGACTGTTTTAAGCACATGAATTGCCACCTAAAAGTTGATTCCGTAATAATCCTGTAGTATATATGCTCCTTCTAACAAGAACGTCCAAAGTAGGGTATCCAAAAATTTAAATCACCTCTGATCGAATCACATGCATACTTTTAAAATTGATCCTACATGTTAAAGATGCATTATTGACTTGATTAACAAATAATACTTTCAGAAGATTAATAATAACTGACAATGGAGATCAAGAGAAGGAATATATACATAAACTCCTGGTACATCATCGTGGCATCCCAAATAAAGAACGTGATGTCATGCGTTTGAACTTTCTCACATAATATTACATTATTAGTCAGGATGTTACAATGACATACCAAAATGTAGGTAAGGTAAGTCTATCCACCAAAAAGCAAGGAATCACAAGTAACAATGGTAAAACGTTGGTGAGGGTGCAATTAAACCCTTTTGATGACTAAATTCCATTAATATTATAAAGTTTGTCAAATTAGAGTTCATAACCAATGGGTAATTTTCACCAATAAGGAAAATCCAATTAAATCAAAAGTATTTCTTGGGGCCTCATTGCCTGATTGATTGACCTCATATAAGAATCTTAATTAAAAGTATTATAGACCCAAAACCCAATGGAGGATGCAGGATCGGTAAAACTTATTTATATTGTTAAAGGGACTTCAATTTCAAAGTACTAGTCTTGATCCTGGATCCTTATGACTTCACATGACAAAATATTTAAGGAAAATGGAGCTGCCGTTTCCAGCATATTACAATACAATTTGTACGTGTGTAGAGAGAGAGAGAGAGAGAGAGAGAGGTATTACCAACTTCATCAGAGTCCTCAAGTGCTGCATTGCAAATGGTGAGAAAGGAGTGATGGGACGAAAAGATGAGAGAAGCTAGAAAGAGAAAGAAGAAGAAGATGGGTTTGGTCATGGCTGTGTGCTCTTTCAATGATCTTCGTTATTCTCTTTTGGGTTTGGTGAGTTTTGGTGATGGAAGTGGCATGTCAGAAGAAAAAGACTATATATATATATATATATATATATATATATAGAGAGAGAGAGAGAGAGAGAGAGAGAGAGAGAGAGAGAGAGAGAGAGAGAGCATTTTTCAAACCAACAGAGGATTTCCATGGCAAGTAATTAGTGGCTTTTGCTTAACCCACGCTCTGTTAATGTTTACGAGGTAACGGCTACTTGTGCTGTCATCTCTTGGCTTCACACCTACTGGGAACTACCGCTGTAAGTAACGGTAAGTTGGTAACTATCACAACGGTTACTGCTGGATGATGGACGTTAGTTACGTCTTTTCATATGCCCAACTTTGACTAGAACAGCAATTTTGTGGGAGAGGGGTCAAAAGTGGAGGAATCAAAGTAGGTAATTTCCCAAATCCAAAAATATTTTTAAATGTATTTTTACCAAATATAGTCAAACACTATGTGCTTGTTTGAATATGCTTTTAAAATGACTGAAAGCGTTTTTGGTGAAAACGTTTTTGGAACCAATTTTTGGTAAAAATGCAAGTAAATTTTGGAAAAGCACTTAAAGTGCTTCCTGGAAGAAGCACATAATTGATGAAAGCGTTTTTGGTGAAAACGTTTTTGGAACCAATTTTTGGTAAAAATGCAAGTAAATTTTGGAAAAGCACTTAAAGTGCTTCCTGGAAGAAGCACATAATTGATGCTTCTTGCAAAAAGCACTTTATGTGCTTTTGAAACCAAAAAATATTTTCTCTAAAAGCACTTTTTAGCCATTTTAAAATACATCCAAACGAGCGCTATTTTGGTCATTGCCTTTCATTTTTTTCTATGTAGACTAAGCATGATAATTTTAAGCACGTTGTTGATGAGGGGTGGAATAATTCTGATTTGGAAAAAATGGTGCACCTCTCAATGGTGGCATGGTGCTTTGACCGAATGAATATGGACCAGTGGTACACATTTTAATTGAGGAAGAAAATCCAGGATGAATGCTTTTTTCGTTCATTTTGTGCTAACTAGATGTGTAATCATGCGATCAATTGACGGGGTAATTGCATGAATGACGAAAGCACCCTAACCTATAGTAAAAGCTCTTCCCTCTCTCGACAGCGAATCTTGATTGACTAACACTAGGAGACGATTCGAAGAAACAAGAAGCATGGCATGAGATTCGCGGCGGAATAAATTACACATTATGTCCTAGTTGAGTAATTTGTTTGGAAAGTTGTATGAATATAATAAATTAGTTTTTGGTCCGTAGTAATTGAAAGGATTTTGGCCAGAATGCAAGGGATGACTCTTTGTAGAAGATATTCACCATTCTTAATTCAACTAGAGCATAATTATTTTAGAAACAATTTTTTTTTTTTTTTGGCTTTTTGTTTGGGTTAAAGTGAATGGGCATATAGGGTATTTTTGGTACCTAATTATGGAGGAGGAAACTTGGTTGTGTGAACGAAATTGAAGGAGCAAGCTGAAACAACGTTGTGATAATGGTTAAAAAGCGTACTTGGTAAAATATATAAATTTGCTTGGTACTAATCAATCATCTATCTTAGGAAAAATATGCATGCTGACGTCTATTTTCATTTAACATTCACTGAATCGAAGTGGGTTACCTAATCTTAACTAACCAACAATGATAATACGACTTTACCTTAAGTATGAATTTCCATCAAAATAAGAAGTTGAATTTCTAATATCGTGTGAGCCACACTTGTATTTTCATCCTCAATATTTATGAACACAAGAGTGTTCCGTAACAAATTCAAATCCTTATTCTATTCTGATTACGGATAAGTAAAAAAGCTATGCAAAATTTGCAAATTGCATTTGGAGAAGGAATGATTTGTGGGCCGACATGCCTTTAACATATGGGCCTTGGCTCGCCTCTTCTAAAAAGAAAAGCAAAATTTGCTAAAACAAAAGAATAAGGACAAGCCTAACCTAGAAAATCAAAACCCTCCTCCTCCTTCTCGTGTTTCTTTCCGTCTCTCCGCCTCCCGCTTTCGCCGCCAAATAGCTCGCCCACTGACCATGGCGGAGTACGACTTAACTCCACGCATGGCGCCCAACCTAGACCGGCATCTGGTTTTTCCCCTCCTCGAATTCCTGCAGGAGCGGCAGATGTACCCAGATGAGCAGATCCTCAAGTCCAAGATCGAGCTCCTCAACAAGACCAACATGGTCGATTACGCCATGGACATCCACAAGTCCCTCTATCACACCGAAGATGTGCCCCAAGGTGAATTATATACACACCCATTATGTATTTATAGGTTTATATGTGTGTTTTTGTATATTTATTTATGTATGTGTGCACATCCATTATGTGTTTGACAATTTGTCTCTGTGGATATTTAGAAATGGTGGATAGGAGGGTAGAGGTGGTGGCTCGCCTCAAGGCTCTGGAGGAGTCGGCGGCGCCCCTTGTCAATTTCTTGCAGAACGCCGCGGCGTTTCAGGAGCTGAAGGCTGACAAGCAGTACAATCTACATATGCTCAATGACCGATACCAGGTAGCCCCAGTTCTTTTTCCTTTTAATTGTTCAAACCCAGGATTAGAATCAAACAATTTGAAAGAGTAATAGCATATGGGGTTAATATATGCATGTATTTACAGATGTTATCTTGGAAAAAAATCAAATTATTTAAATGGAAAAAGGTCTAATTTTTGTGTGGTTTATATTACTTTTATTGAACAAATAGATTTGGTTTTGCATAGGTTTAACTCTCATGGCATGGCTGTCTGAACAGATTGGTCCACACCAGATCGAGGCGTTGTATCAGTATGCAAAATTTCAGTTTGAATGTGGTAACTACTCTGGTGCTGCTGATTATCTCTATCAGTACAGGGCTTTGTGCACAAACAGTGACAGGAATCTGAGTGCATTGTGGGGAAAGCTGGCGGCTGAGATATTGATGCAGAACTGGGATATTGCCCTTGAAGAGCTTAACCGCTTGAAAGAAATTATTGATTCAAAGGTTTATATTTTCTTCATGCACCGACTTGTTTATTTAAATGTGCATTTTATTCTTTTGAATTCCAATATAAAGGTGGGTGATTTTTGTTGCAGAGTTTCAGTTCACCTATGAATCAAGTGCAAAATAGAATATGGTTGATGCACTGGAGTCTCTTCATATTTTTCAACCATGATAACGGGAGAACACAGATCATTGACCTTTTTAATCAGGACAAGTATGTCATCTGCCCTTATTGATTTGACTGTAATGCTTTCACTGTACATTTACCTCTTGCTTTACCAATTGCTAAAAGACTAAAACAACCCAGAATACATATGTATCTCTTTTCTTACTGTCTAGCCCTGAAAGCTTAGAACTTTCAAATCATCTTTTGTTCTAATTGATGTATTTATACCCTTCATCATTCTATTTTAACTAATGGTGCTGATCTGTAAATGTGACACCCTGTGCTTTTGCTGTCGTAACATTGATAATTGTTTGCCTCTACTGAATGGGTGGTGTCAGCATATTGTCCTGAACATCTACATTTATTAGGCATTTAAAAATTTTAGGAAAAAGAATATGGTTATTACTGCACAATCCTATTGGCTTTACATAGTTGAGATGCCATAAAGTTAGTGGTGTTGATGTGTAAATGCATTTTACATCTGGGTGGAGTGTAGCCTTTTTGGATAAGGTGCCATTAATTTAGTGGTTTGATCACTGTATTAGACAGTATGGATAGCCTTTTTGAGCTTCATGCAATATAACAGACATCCCCTGTGGAAAATTGATTTCTACTGAACACCAAGTGACTTGGTATTTTATGGTTATTTCCTGATAGAAATGTTAAATTTTTTTTTTCCAGGTATCTGAATGCCATTCAAACCCATGCTCCTCATCTTGTGCGTTACTTAGCCACTGCATTCATTGTCAATAAGAGGAGGAGACCTCAGTTCAAGGATTTTATAAAGGTTATTCAGCAGGAACAGCATTCTTATAAAGATCCCATCACAGAGTTTTTGACCTGCGTTTATGTTAATTATGACTTTGATGGTGCACAAAAGAAGATGAGGGAGTGTGAAGAAGTAAGCGCCTGAACCCATATTGGCTTGCTTGTTGATAACCCTTGACATGTTTCAAATTCAAATTTCACCTTTTTCCGACCCTTGCGTAACTTACATGAGTGTTTCATTGTAAATTTGACTTCTGCTTTATCTGTATTCCTGCTTGAGAACTTGATTTGTATTAACTCTTTTGTCTAAGCCAATGACTATTGATTTGACAATGTAGGTAATCTTGAACGATCCTTTCCTTGGAAAACGAGTAGAAGAAGGGAATTTCTCTACTGTACCACTGAGGGATGAGTTCCTTGAAAATGCTCGTTTATTTATCTTTGAGACGTACTGTCGTATACATCAGCGCATTGACATGGGGTAAGTAATTGCTTCTTTGTATTTGGTTGTGTACTTTTTCTTTGTTCGACATCATTATTCTGCTTTCTATCCACCATTCAAAGTGGTATATGAATTGATCAAGTCATGTCAGAGTTCACTCTTTCTTTGGTTTTTTTATCTTTGTTAAGACTTTTTTTTAGAAGTATGGGTCACAAGGCACTTGTAAAGTCATAGGTCTTTAGATTGTTCGGTGCAATTTGACTGGTCTCTCTACATATTTGTTTGTTCGTGGTCAAGAGCTTGGGAGATAGAGTAATGTGTGTGAGGGTTTTTGCTTGATTCAAAATGTCAGGGCGTAATTGTTTAATTTTGGTGGATGCCTTTTGTTTTCATATGTGAAGTGTACAGATGATGTCTTGTGTTGTTTAGCTTTCGTTAGAATTTTCGGCAAACCTAATTGACTTTATTTTCCATTACTTGTCGTATATCTTTTGTCCCTAGAAAGGGAACTTTCTTTCTTCACTCTTTTCAACAAATAATAAATCTAATAAAATCGTGGCTTGGCAGAGTGCTTGCAGAGAAATTAAACTTGAATTATGAGGAGGCTGAAAGATGGATTGTGAATCTAATTCGGAGCTCAAAGCTTGATGCAAAGATTGACTCGGAGTCGGGCAC